CAGTTTGTCAGCAATGTTTTGACTCCTCTTCCTGGTCATTATTACCTGGAGGCACATCTCCATCAGAAAATAAACCAGGGAATTCGTCCCACCCTCCCCTTCCTCCCGCGTCCACATCTCCGTTCTCTACATCTGCATCTCTATTCCTGCCCTGCAAATAGGTTCATCTGTACCATTTTTCCAGATTCCACATATCTGCATTAATATACGATATTTGTTTCTCTTTCCGGCTCACTTCACTCTGTATGACAGACGCTAGGTCCATCCACATCTCTACAGTTGGGAGATTAGAATTGACTTATATACACTACCAACGTGTAGAATAGATAGCCAGTGGGAACCTGCTATAAAGCACAGGGAGCTCAGCTCGGTGCTCTGTGACGACCTAGATGGGTGGGATGGGGGGTGGTGGGAGGGAGGTCCAAGAGGGAGGGGATATAGGTATACATAGAGCTGATTCACCTCATTGTACAGCAGAAACTAACACAACATTGTAAAGCAATTATACTCCAAACAAACCAAAACAAGACAAAAACAAAACAGGGAATTCCCTGACTGTTCAATTGTTAGGGCTCCCCGCTTCCACTGCAGGGGGCATGGGTTCGATCCTTGGTCGGGGTACTAAGATCCCACGTGCCTGGAGGCATGGCCAATTAAATAAATAAAATGAACCAGAGGGAAAATAGGTTCAAGACATTTCCATAATGCTATTTGTTGGTCACTTTAAGAGTCAAAATTATAATAAAAAAATTTTTAAATCATTAACTGTAGATTCAATGACCTTAGAGCTATCCAACAGAGATTAAAATGCAAGCCATTTTGTAATTTTAAAATGTCCAGTAGCCTCATTAAAATAAGTAGAAACAGGTGAAATTATTTTAAGGATACCTTTTGTTTAACCCAATATATTCAAAATATTACCACTTCAACATGAAATCAACATTAAAAATTGATATATATTACGTTCTTATTTTGCATTAAGCCTTTGAAATCTAGGGTCTGTTTTACACGTAACCACACATCTCAATCGGACCAGCCACCTTCCGCGGACCCAGAGCTCTCCGTGCGCAGAGAGGCTGCAGGGTTCCAGTCCTAAATGACTCCTGAGTGCCAGCCTCGCCCCTCATGGGATAAAGTGCATGATGCCCTTTGGGGAAGCATCAGGTGGAAGGCATTTTTATTCAGCAACCCGGTGATTTTCAGCCCCTCCTTTAAGAGTCACTAGAAGTTTCATCTTTGAGGAGTAGGAGATGAAGGAGCCCAGGGCCTTGGGGGTGGGGGTGGGGCGGGGTGCAGGCCACCCCCTTTCTGCTCACTCTGTGGCCAGAGGACATGCTGGCACCACTGAACACATGCTCAGACTCCTCAGCAACCCACTATAACGCCCAGGCTGGAGGGTGCGGTTTGCGCCCGGCCCGAGTTCCTCTCTATCTCGCCTCTTGCAGAGCAAGCTGGCTTCTTGAAACTGAACCGGGGCGGCTGGTAAGGCCCATCCTCGGGAAAGATGCTGAGTGAGCACAGTACTGAGGGGTGGAGACAGAGAAGGGGCCTGTGGAAGGCGGGGGACCTGGACTCAGGAAGGCCAGCCGTCCCCAGCTCCTCACCTGTGAACTGCGGGTAACAAGGGCTCGGGGCTCCTCGGGGCTGTTGGACACAACAGGATAAAGCCGAGGGCCTGGCCTGCAGAAAAGCCACCATTCTGAGCTCGCTACCACCTGAGGAAGCTGTGCAAGCCTCCACAGGCTCTCCCGTCTCTGCCAACGACCCCCCCACGCCCCCCGGCCGCTAAGCCTTGTTCTCCCTGGCAGACACTGCTACCCCCCCACACCGAACCCCTCAGCCTCCCACCAGGCCGGCTCGGACAGTCCCAGGAGGCCAGTGGCTTCCTGCCGCTCCTGCCCGATGTTGCTCCCCGGAAACGTGAGGTCTGCAAGGGGCTTCAGAGAGGAAGTGCCTAGGAGCAAAGGGTCCCAGAATGGACCCCCAAACAAGGAAGGATGGGAGTTGATGGATAAATACCCCACTTCCTGCCCCTGGAGCAATTCTGGGGTGCACTGTGTGCATTCAGAGGACCCCCAGGGGGCTTGAGCCCCAGTTGCTCCCAGTGGTAACCCACTCAGTAAGTAACTAGCTCTCACTGAGTCTCCTTCCCTCTGTCTCCTCTCCTCATCCCCTCACTGTGCCCCTGGGACCATCTCCCAAATAAACGGCTTCACCCAAATCCTCGTGTCAGGGTCTGTTTCTGGGGGAACCCAAACTAAGACATTCCCCATCTGCAATGCCCTTCCCTCCCCGTCCAACTGTGAAAATCCTGCTCACTCTTCAAGGCTCAGCCAAAAGGACACCTCCTCTGAGAAGCCTCCCTGGTGCCCCTAACAGCAACAACGCAACTTCCGGGCCTCCCCACCAGCATTCGCCACTTTTTCTTCTGTCTGGCACACCTGCTGGTTTCCTTGGGTCACAGTCAGGGGTTTGGGTTCTTTCTCCCTATGTTGGCTGAGCTCTCCACAAGCACAGAGGTGAGTCTTCAAGCCTGCCACACCGCAGGGCCCCAGGAAAACTCTGCCAACTATTTCAACATTTACCACCACTAATAGCTCATAATTACTAAGTGTTTACAATTTGTGAAGCACTTTATATGCCATTATTGCCCTGAAACCTCGCAGCCATCACTTAGGTGATAGGTAATAAATCCTTGCCCATTTTAGAGATGGACACACTAAGGCAAAAAGATAAGTAATTTCGACAAGGTTGCAGAATCAGCTAGCTCAGATCCAGAGTGCTTAACCACTGTGTGACCAACAGTGCAAACTCTTACAAACTCTTCCCTGAGAGCAGTCAGTCCCTAATATTTCTACTAGTGGAGAATTAACTCAGTCACAGATGAGGAAGCTCCATGTTTACTCCAACTGAAGGTACCAACAGCCCACAATGCTCCCCAAGCCCCCTTCACTCTGTGGGGGAGTGACCACAGAGCCCACCAGGTGAGGAGTTGCAGAAGAAATAGGCCATGCCCTCAAGGACACCCTCAGATAGAGAGGAAAAGCTGAGAAACTCTCCAGGACAACCAACGACAAATGACGGCATGAGTGGTCCCCAATTTCCTCCAGCTTTGCCTCTAGTTGCCTAGAAGCCCAGCTTTGCAGTCACGTAATGGGTCCGTTGATAACCAGGGGTCCCCCCATCACCCACAGGACCCCCACCCTTCACAGGACCCTCTACTACCCACAGGACCCTCCACCACCTACAGGACCCTTCACCCTCTATAGGACCCTCCCTAATCACACAGGACCATCAGTCTCCCTAAGCACTCTCCCTGCCCCAACCCAGGTGTCAGCCTGGCCACACAGAGGTCAAACTTTTACTGAAGTCAGGCTACTGGTGCCTCTTGGAGGGAAGGTGACAGTGACCAGAGGGGGCAGGAGGGAGGGGCCAGTGTCTTATGGGGGCTGGAAATACTCCAGCCAGTTATATGCTTGTGTTCGCTTTGTAAAAAGTCCTACATTCTCAAACTATGCACTTATGATTTGTGTGCTTTGCTGGATGTATGTTACATTCAAATGAAAACTTCACTTAAGAAAAGTTTTTTTTAAAGGAAAAAGAAAAACCTTTTAGTATGCCAGTCCACTCTCTAGGGTGGAGGACACCCTTCTGAGGCCAGGGAGGAAGCTCATGGCCAGTACTCTAAGAACAAAGAAGTGTGATAAGGGCTTAAAGGAAATCTGAATACAGAGGATCTGAGAAGGGCCCTGTGTGGCGGCTGGGGACCTAAGAGGTCCCCTGGGAGAGAGGAGTGGTCATTTTCCCACCCCACCCCCAAAATGCTGAGGGAAACCCTAAACCCGGAAAGGGCTTGATGGGATCAGCGGGACTATAATTAGTAAATTCTATGAGGTTGTAGGGACAGTGCGTGGCACCAGGGCAAGACTGAATGGTTAGGATGGGATGGATTTAGATGAGATGAAATGGGTGGGATGAAAAGATGGAGTGGGATGGGGTGGGAGGGGCTGGGACAGGATGGGGATTTGAAGATGGGACCCAGACTGTGAGGGGCTTTACATGGAGCCCATCAAGATGGGGAGTTTGGATTCTGTCCTGCCCAGAGCTGGAGAAGGTTTTTTTGTTTTGTTTTGTTTTGTTTTTGCGGTATGCGGGCCTCTCACTGTTGTGGCCTCTCCCGTTGCGGGAACGCGCAGGCTCAGCGGCCATGGCTCACGGGCCCAGCCGCTCCGTGGCATGTGGGATCTTCCCGGACCGGGGCACGAACCCGTGTCCCCTCCATCTGCAGGCAGACTCTTAACCACTGCGCCACCAGGGAAGCCCTGGAGAAGGTTTTTTTAGCAAGGAAATGGCATCTTAGAATTCTCCTCCAGGGATCGCTCTGGCACAGGTGTGGCCCTCAAGGAGCAGCCTGGAGGCCAGGTGTTTCCTAGACAAAACTACCGAGTCTACGAACAGCCAGAGGGGGCGGGAGGGCGGCCAACCGGCACCCCAGGGCTGTCTGTGGAAGGGAGCTGGTGAGGACCCAGACCCGCGCTGAGTAAAGCTCAGGGTGGGGGTGACACTTGCCCACCCGCCCCCACAGGAGGCTCGGGCAGCGCTAAGTCAGCTGCGTGTTCTCTTTCTGAGCTCTCAGGAGGAAGCCACGTGATGCTATTTTGAGACAGACTCACTTCCCGAGAAAGGAGCACAAAATACCAGCAGAGGGACCAGGGGGACCACATTCCATCCCTCAGCCCGGCCCGAGGGCTGCACCGAGTGGGCATCACAGCTCCCAGGACACTTCCGGCCAGTGATGCGCCGCCCATCTCACCGAGGCGAGAACAGGCTGAGAGCGGCGCGCGGGCCCCAGGGGACACCAATGGCAGGTGGCAGAGCCGGGCGGCCCACCCCAAACACCCCGCCCCGCGATTCTTCCGGAAACATAACTCTGCCCCAGGCTCCCGACTGGGTTCCTTGCGGGGAAAGTCCAGGGGCTCTTGGCTGCGTCCCTCCCTCACCTGTGTGCGTGCGCACGTGCCTCTTGAGGTCGAAGGTGTCGTTGAAGCCCTTGCCGCAGAAACTGCACAGGTGCCTCTTCACCTGGCTGTGGCACTTGAGGTGCCGGTTGAGCATGCGCTGCAGGCGGAAGGCCTTGCCGCACAGGTCGCAGGTGTGAATCGCCGCGTCGCCGCCGCAGGTGCCTGTGGTGAACTGGGACAGAGAGAGGGGTGAGGACCCGTGTGGGGCGGCGCGCCCACCGCCTGGTGCGTCTAGGCTGCACCTGACTCGGGCTCCTGCACCCCCCCACACCCATGCTCCCCTTGGTCCTCGGGACAGACCTCTGATTACCAGCTGGGCACCCCGCCCCCAGCTACGCGCCTACGTTTCCCAGCCTCACAGCAAGTCCTGCGGGTGGGACCACCTGGCTGGTGAGATACACTCTCTAAAGGGAAGGATGGTGCCCTCTCCCCTGATTTACTCCTTCCTGCTCGGGAGAGCAACAGCCACCTCGGACCCAAGGCGGAAGCCAGTGCTGAGGATGGAAGAGCAGAAAGGAAAGAGGAGTCTAGGTCTGATAACATCACAGAGCCCGCAAAGACAGCCACAGTCAATTCCTTCCTCCCGGCCAGCATCCACCAAGAGACTGTCTCCTCTCCCCCTGGATCTGGGCAGGGCCTGTGTCAGTTCCAGATCTTAAGAAACGGTACAGCTCTTCTGCATCCTCCCTCTTGGAAGCCAGCAGCCATGAGGAAGCCTGAGCCCACCATACTGTGGGGAAGCCCAAGCAGCCATGCAGAGGAGCAATGAGGTGCCAGGTATGAATAAAGACTCACTGGACCTTCCAGCCCAGCCAGGGCTGCCACCGGCTGAGTGAACAAACCCGGCCCAGAGGAAAACTGCCTAGCCCAGCCGTGCCCCAGTTCCTGACCCAGAATCATGAACAAATAAGACGGTCATCTTGGGAAGTGACTTGGTCAGGATCCCACAGCTTTGTTATCAGAAAAACTATAACCAAATCCCAGGTTCTGGACTGCCTGGTTCATTCTCTCAACCGTGTTTGCTGCCTCAAAGGAAGAAAACAGAATCTCTAACTGTGTGAAGAAAAACACGAGATCTGATATATTCATTAAAGGTTTCCTAGTTATCAGAACCTTTAGAAGATGGATCCAACCGTTCTGCCAAAATTCTATTCATAAAAGGACCTAAAAAACTTAATTTTCAGACAAACATTATTAGCAAGAAGAGTTGGTCTTTTCCTGGCTTAACACCTTCCTTGTCTCAAACACCCTCCTTTCATCCACTGGGGTACTTACTGCCTTCTGCCAAGCCTCAGCTCACCTGTTCCCTCCCTGATGAGCTTCTACAGCCACTGCAGCCCCTGCCCAAACTGGTCTGTGTACCCCTAAGACCAGTGCCTCTCAAACCTCAGTGCACACACAAATCCTCTGGGGGTCTTGTTAAAATGCAGGTTCTCTCTTGCACTGTTGGTGGGAATGTAAATTGATACAACCACTATGGAGAAAAGTATGGAGGTTCCTTAAAAAACTAAAAATAGAACTACCATACCACCCAGCAATACCACTACTGGGCATATACCCAGAGAAAACCATAATTCAAAAAGACACATGCACCCCAATGTTCATTGCAGCACCGTTTACAATAGCCAGGTCACGGAAGCAACCTAAATGCCCGTCGACAGACGAATGGATAAAGAAGATGTGGTACATATATACAATGGAATATTACTCAGCCATAAAAAGGAACGAAATTGGGTCATTTGTAGAGACGTGGATGGATCTAGAGACTGTCATACAGAGTGAAGTCAGTCAGAAAGAGAAAAACAAATATCATATATTAACGCATGTATGTGGAACCTAGAAAAATGGTACAAATGAACCAGTTTGCAGGGCAGAAATAGAGACACAGATGTAGAGAACAAACGTATGGACACCAAGGGGGGAAAGCGGCAGGGGGTGGGGGTGGTGGTGTGATGAATTGGGCGATTGGGATTGACATGTATACACTGATGTGTATAAAATGGATGACTAATAAGGACCTGCTGTATAAAAATAAATAAAATAAAATTCGAAAATAAATAAATAAATTTTTTTTTAAAAAGTGCAGATTCTGATTCAGGAGGGCTTGTGGAGTCTGGATGCTGCATTGCTAGACAGCTCCCAGGAGATGCCACCGTGCAGTCCATGGACCACACCTGAGATGTGAGGGGCTGGCCCTCACACGGTTCAGGACTTTATTCCAACTCATTCCAGAGGCTTCCATCAGGCACGAACGTTTCCTCAACTAAACGCCTTGTGGAAGCCAGCAAGCATTCGCGCAGGCTCCTGCCCCCCCCGCCCATGCCCCAAGCGCAGATGAGGGCCCTGCATGGTCAGAAAGTGTTGGTGGGCAATGGCTCACAGGTGGCAAGAGGCGAAGACCCCAGAACAGGGCTTTCCAGTCAGCCCCCTCCACCAGTTCATTCTCACTGCTCCATCTTAGTCTCAGCCGACACTGATGTGTGCCTGATCCGAGACAGGGCCTGTGCTCAGAGCACCAGGATGGCTTGTCCCCAAGAAGCTGCCAGTCTAGTCGGAGAGCAGACCGGGCAACAGGCCACTGCCATCTGGGAAGCCCCAGGTGCAAGGGATGGCTGGGAGGGGAGCCTAGCCCAGACAGTGGGCGCACGGGAAAGTGTACCCAGAGAGGTGAACATCTCAGCCAGGCCACGATGAAGAAGATGGGGGAAGGGCAAGGAATATCCCAGAGAGGGCGCTGGGAAAAGGGGGACTGTGTGTAGTCCAGCCTGGCCAGCCTGAGCCCTGGAGAGTAGCTGACAAACAGAGCTGAGGGAGGAGAGAAGGGCAGGGCCCCCAACGACTGTCAGAGGGCGGGGGGAGGGTGGGCACATTGGAAGATACAGGAGGACAACCACAGGGCTTGAGTCTGATGACCCTCCTGCCTCATACCCCACCTCTGCCCCCCAAAGGGGTGGGGCCTGGCAGGGCCTGAGGGAGACCCAGCTGTGCCCAAGGCTCTCCTATCACAGGACAGGTCATGGTCTCCTGCTAATCCACAGTCCCCATTCTAGTCGCTGCCTCCCTTGAAGGGATGTGAAGAGACTAAATATGGCCCAGGTCTTGGCAAACAAAATGCCGTGAGCTTCTGAAGGCCAAGCCTACACAGGATAAAGGTCATTTGAGAGGTAGTGCGGCTAATGAGATAGAACAGAGGCACATGAACCTGGTAATTCTGATGAAAAACGTGAAGAAAGCTAGAACTGTCTTCTGAAAGTCTTGCACCATGTGCCCGAGGACTCGCCAACTACGGTACCAACCTGAACCCTTGTTTACTTTAATCCTTTTGGTAAACTCCTATTTTTAAAATGTTCAGCATGTAACATGAATACCTCCTATTACAGTCCAGGATGGAAATCTCAAATCACTGGCATTATTTGGTTTGAAAAGAATAAAAATTTTGAGGGCAGAGGGGGTGGAGATCAGTGACAATTTAAGGGAGTTCAGGGTCAGTGGATCATCTGACTGAGAGAGATACAGAAAGCTTTTTAACACAGGGGAGAAAGAGGGAATGAGGCGAGGGGACTGGAGAGGGAGGGCACCCCATTCTCTGGGGAACTTCCCTCTGGTTTTCTCAGAGCAAAAATAAAAGATCTCCAATTGCCTCAGCAAACGCAGTGTTCCCATTTCTCCACTTTTCACAACATGGAAAACTGAGTCAACACAAAATGCTCATGTAGAGAATTGCCATAAGGTGCACCCTCCAGCCCATGAAGGGTTGTTCGCCAACTATAAACGTATTTCTGACCAATCCAGACTCCAGACGTTTATGAATTATATCCAGAACGTCTGAAGAGGGCCTTTTCAAAAGAAGATGGAGGGTTAATTCAACAGCAAAAAGATCATGGCTGACGAAGCCAGCTTCTGCCAGACTTGTTCACTTTTCAGGGGAAGGAAAACTTCCTTCGTTAGAAAGGTGAGAGTCCTTATTATTCAGCCATAAAAAAGAATGAAATCATGCCATTTGCAGCAACATGGATGGACTCAGAAATGATCATACTAACTGAAGTAAGTCAGACAGGGAAAGACAAATACTATATATCACTTATATGTGGAATCTAAAAAATAATACAAATGAACTTATTTACAAAACAGAAACAGACTCAAAGACAAAGAGAACAAACATGGCTACCAAAGGGGAAAGAATGGGGGGAGGGATAAATTAGGAGTATGGGATTAACAGATACCACTATATATAAAATAAACAACCAAGATTTACTGTATAGCACAGGGAATTATATTCAATATCTTGTAGTAACCTATAATGGAAAAGAATCTGAAAATATATATACACATATATACATATATGTATACAGACATATGTATAACTGAATCACTTTGCTGTACACCTGAAACTAACACAACATTGTAAATCAACTACACATCAATTTTTTTTTAAAAAAAGGAGAAATTCCTCAGAAAAATATTTGGAGGATAAATTCCTAAACATGAAATTTATCCACAGAGTGTACTTCACATGTGCCTTGCAATTTGGTCTGTGATAGCAAAAAGCTGGAAACTACCTATATGCCCATCAATAGGGACTTGTTAAAAAAAAGATGGTATAACCATATAATAAAGTAGCTAGAAAAGGACAAGAGTACCAACTGCCAGTCACATGAGTGAGCCCTCCTGGATGTTCAAGCCCCCAGGAGACTCCAACCCCACTGTCATCTGACCGCATCCACAAGAGAAACCCCAGGCAAGACCCACCCAGCTGAGCCCAGCCAATCCGCAGAACTAGAAGACGTCATAATAAAGTGTTATAAGCTGCTAAACTTGGGGTTGTTTGTGAAGCAGCAACAGAACACTAGAACGGTGAGAGATGTATCACATTCTCTCTAGAACACCAGAGCTGCCACATTTCTGCGTGTTCTCTCCCAGGATGGGCAGCATGATACAGAAGACACCCCCGATTCCTGAAATGATGCCCCATGTGCTGGAGGACCGGCAATCTCTCCTCGGGTCACCTGTCTGCTCACTGGGCCATCTTTATTATGTTTACACAGGCTTACACCTACCACTCTACTTCCTAGAAGTCCAAAATAGGGTTAACCAACTACCTTGTTACTCTGCAAGGGGTAGACCAAAACTAGTTACATCTTTGTCACCTGGTCACAAAATGAGTGGGGTGGA